CGAATTATACACAGGAGGAGAAAGATTGGGACCTTGCAACATATATGCCATGCTTAATGGATAAAACATTAAGACATTTTTGGAAGAATACAACATGGAACAGATCCATGTCGACGTAACTACAGACAGGAATACCTGCCGAATGCTTTTAATTGTGAGGTGAGAGGGAGGCATGGACCGCACACGTTCTACCTGTGGGTGGTAACAACGGGTAGGGTAGAAAAGTAGGCATACAGGCACTGACCCTCCACCCGCCAATTTTAGCGGTATTTAAACACAAACTGGGAACCAGGGAACATTGAATTAATTTATCCGGTTCAAAAAGCCACAGTGAAGTGGCAAAACGCGTTCCGGTATTGAGCACATTGTTGCCTTTTTATTTTGTGTGCAATAAATATAGTTTTTATTTTATCCTTTGATCCTGGTTCCTGGATACATCTTTTATGGATGGGAGTGCAGTCCCAAATCTGCACAACACTTGTGAATTGAGTCATATCATTTGACTCTGGGCTTGTAAGTACCCATTTGGGAATTTCTTTATTAAATTAAATATTAGTAGCAGTACTGCGCAACCGTTTCTGCTTTTTATCCCTCCCTTCAGGACAAGATTTACAGCATTAACAGGGGTGGGTCGCCTAAACGGACCAGAAGTGATCCATACCAGAGCTGGGTCTATAGCTCTCCGTTTGTGAGTTTATATAGCAATTTCTGTCTTAAATACCATTCAGTTATATATTGTCTACACACTATATTTGATTGTCTTTTATAGATACCTACCTGCTTGATATTCAGGTGAAAAACTCCTCTTAAACTGCCAAAAAGTGATAACCTATTTATTTATTATGGAAGCGCTACATTGTTTTCTCGTTTGCATATTATGTTTGTGATGTTGGAAGGTTTTGCATGAATGTATAGCAGCTAGTTTCATTTCATCTTTACACAGTGATACATTAAAATCTGGCTAAATAAGCACTGTTCCTTATCCATTTTTCTGTACCCTCTAATTGATATGCTTTCCTGAAGAAGTGAGTTTTCAATGATTTTTTGAAGGAGTGGAGACTGGGTGAAAGTCTAACAGAGAAGGGAAGGGAGTTTCACAGGAACTGTGCAGCCCTGGAGAAGTCTTAAAGATGAGCATCAGAGGTGGGAGTACCGACAGTGTAATGACCTAGACGGGCAGGGCCGGATTAACATAGGGGCTGATGGAGCTGCAGGCCCAAGCCCATGGAATAGGCCCATTGATTTAAAAAAAATATATATTTTTTTTTTTACACACTACTATTAAGTTTGCCAGGTATTTTTCATGTATTTCTTAGGGTTGCCAGGTATTTCTCATAAGTATTTCTCAGGTATTTGAGGCCGCCTAGCCGGTGCCGGTATTGCAGTAATACCGGAAATACAAATGTCTATCTCAGTATAAACAGAGATTGTTCTGCAATACCAGCGCCAGCCAGTAGGGGTCGCTGTTTGTGTGGATAGAGGCAGGGATAAGAAGTTACAGCATCTGCCTCTCTCTACTCACTGATCCACGGGGGAGCAGCTCTGCACAGAGAGTCCAGACAGCAGCTACGAGCATGCGAGACATGGGGACGGTGAGAGACATAGGGACACTGGGGAACATGGGGACCTTGAGACACTAGGGACACAGTGGCCCCATGTCTCCCAGTGGCCCCTAATCTCTCAGCGTCCCCATGTCTCCCAGCCAGTGTCCTCATGTCTCCCAGTGTCCCTGATGTCTCTCACTGTCCCCATGTGTCCCTGATGTCTCTGTGTCCCCATGTCTCTCCCAGTGTCTGTGTCCCCAGTGTCCCAATGTCTCTAAGTGTCCCCTAATGTCCTAGTGACATCGGGACACTGGGAGACATAGGGACACAGACTCTAAGGAACACTGGGAGACATGGGGATACAAATACTAGGGGACACTGGGCGACATGGGGACACTGAGACACTAGGGGCACTGAGAGACATGAGGACACTGGGCGACTTTGAGACCTGGGAGACATGGGGCACTCCCAGTGTCCCCATGTCTTCCAGCCAGTGTCCCTAGTATCTAAGTATCCCCTTGTCTCCGTGTCCCTGGTGTCTCTGTGTCCGCAGTGTCTCAGTGTTTCCTAGTCTCCCAAAGTCCCCCAATGTCCCCTAGTGTCCCCATGTCTCCATGTCACCTAGTATAAAAAAAAAATCTCAGGCACTCATTGTGATAGATTTAAGTCTAGTGAGCAATCAGAGAGAAGCTGTTATATGTCTACTCCTGTCTCTATTCTGCCTGTGAATACCTAATGAGTTAATAACTACTCAATCATTTCTAGTTCACAGAGAGATTTTTCACTTATTTTTTAATTCTTCAAGTTTATTCAAGACAGGCATTAGATATGAGCAGTAGATAGGGGCTGCAATCTGAAACAAGTTACCAACCCCATACAACTGAGGGTTAAAGCAACTGTAGCTAATTAGTATCCTCTTTATGCTCTCTCCGTATTGCAACACTGTGCTAGTACAGAAGCCCTGACCTGACAGCTATCTGGCTCAGTTTCTTCACTCAAACGGTCTCCGATATTGAATTGCATTAACCAAAATTAGGAGAAGAGAGATTGCAACAATTTGTAATTACAAACAACCTTCTACTAGTTCTATATTACCATATTGTAGAATCAATGACATCAGCCATCTGCTCCCTGTATCCTGGACACCTACTCAGTGTGATATAAGAAAATCCAACTCCTGATAGAGACCTCACTCAATAAAGTCAGAGATTAGGACAATTGGACGACTTTATATTCTTTATCTATTTCTGCATGTATCATCTATTTTTCTGAGTAGGTAGAGGTATAGCCAGTTGGCTTTGGATTTGCTATCTGACCATTAATATAAGTGGTGTGCAGCGTTCTATCAAAGAGCATACATTTCCTCATCTTCTGTTCCTTTCCAGCTAACACCGACATTCAGAGTCTTTTAGCTCTGGAAATAGGTAGTTATTATTACGCGGTGATAGATTTAAGCAGATTTATTGGACACTGCAATGTTTCAACCTGTAACCAGGTCTTTATCAAGTCTCCAGTGTGCCTTATGTATCACAGTGTCCCCTGTGTATCAGAGTGTCTCAGTGCCCCATGTCTCCCAGTATCCCTGGTGTGTTTCAGTGTCTCAGTGTCCCCTAGTCTCCCAGTGTCCCCACGTCTCACAGCACCCCCAAGTGTCTCAGTGTCCCCTAGTATAAAAGAAAAAAAATCTCAGGCACTCACTGTGATAGATTTAAGCAGGTTTATTGGACACCACAACATTTTGACCTGTACGCAGGTCTTTATCAAGTCTCCAGTGTCCCCTATGTATCACAGTGTCTCAGTGCCCCATGTCTCCCAGTGTTCTCTCATGTCTCAAAGTTACCCAGTGTCCCCATGTCTCCCAGTTTCCCCAAGAGTCTGTGTCCCCAGGTCTCTCAGTGTCCCAATGTCTCTCAATGTCCCCTAGTGTCTTAGTGACATAGGGACACTGGGAGACATGGGGACATGGACACTAAAGGACTGGGAGACATGGGGACACAGACATGCCCCCTTTTTGTGTATGTTCGCCCCTTTTGGCAGTTCTGGTTATGTGATTTGTGTCAGTGGCCCACCCTTTTGCCCCGTCCATAGACTTCCTGCTTTACTGGACACTGCTGTTAGGGTGTATGGGTTTACTTGAAAGATGAAAGCGTGGGTATGTGTTTTCTCATAGCAGCATCCTATGAGTTTCCCTCCAGCACCATCTCCATCAGATACATGACGCTAGGGAGGTAGGACTGTTTTAGTATTTTTGGTCAATAAAATTTTGTAACTAGGCCCATCATAATTGTCAGCACCAGGCCCACTGGGCTCTTAATCTGGCCCTGTAGACGGGACATACTTGTGTATTAGGGAGAATAGGTAGGTCGGAGCAGCATTGTGTAGAGACTTGTAACACCAGGATCTTAAATTGAGTCCTATATCTTACTGGAAGCCGATGTAGGGACTGACAGAGGGGTAAAGCGTGAGCGGTTTGGGCAGACAGGAAGATGAGCATCGCATTCATTATAGATTGTAACAGGGCTAGTTGGTAGCACGGAAGACCACTGAGAAGGGGATTGCAGTGGTCAAGGCGAGAGAGAGTAACAGCATGCATCAGCACCTTAGCTGTATCCAGCATTAACTAGGGGAAGATGCACGCTATGTTTTTGAGATGGAAGTGGCAGAATATTAATAACTAGCCGAGAATATGATGCCTAACTTCACTTGTCATTTTCAAACCCCCACTCTCCCACTAGTGCATTTTATGAGACGTCCAAAGCAATACTGGGAGTTGTGAAACATAAAGGAATACTACATATATATTTATTTCCAGTGTATTTGATTTTTTTCCAGCTCAAGAAGAGTCTCCTTAGTGCAGCACTGATCCGCCTCCTATGAAATCATCCAATCAGATGCTTCCCACAGAGACACATTAAGGCCCATCAGCATTGATTATCATAGAGAAGCATTTGAACCAATCATTCTCTGTGAAACGCTCTTGCTTCCCCTCTGAAATATAGAGCAGAGTGAGAGTGGCAGGAAACCCCCCTCGGCTGTCTGCTTGACAGAAAGTGTACTGTTATAAAGTTAGCCTACAGACTGGAGCAAGCTATAAAGCAGTGTGATTAGGTTAATTGCTAGAGCCTGAGAAAGATCATGTGACTGAAATGTTGCTTGGTACTGCACATTTGAAAAGTTAAAACTGTTGTGCTGGGGTTTTTGGCAGATGTATGGACTAGATGTGGATTCCTGACTGCATTAGTGAGCCATACTATCCATTTCCAAACCAGCTTTCTGTTTCATCGTCCTGACATGCCCCGGGATCAGCTTGATTTTTGTCCTGAGATTCCATTGATTCCTCTTCATTCAGTGCCTCATTATTCTGATCAGTTTAGAGTTGTGAACCATCTGTGGGAATGAGTCCCAGCCATTGTTACTCCTAATAGTCATTATATCATTGCATGAATCATCTCAGCAATGGAGCAAATTGTCCTGTGACCAGATAGTGTGGACATGTTCACAAAGTCCTAGGTATATTTATTATATATAATTGCCAATGAGAATATTTTATTTACTCATGCATGTTTTAATTTCATGCTCAGAGAGGAGAAGGAGCTCTGGATCCGAGCAAAGTACGAGCAGAAGGTGTTTTTGTGTCCTTTGCCCACGTCAGATGTACCACTTGGTCAGCAGCTTCTGCGGGCAGTCGTTGAGGATGACTTGCGAATGGTGGTCACCCTCCTTGCTCATGGTACGAAGGAAGAGGTAAACGAGACCTATGGCGATGGTGATGGTCGCTCAGCACTACATCTGGCAGCAGCTATGGCCAACGTGGTGTGCACACAACTTCTTATTTGGGTGAGACAATAGAGTAAATAAATAAACATGAGTTTAATATTGGGCATTGTGTTGTATCTCCCTCATTAACTCTTTTCCATTGTGTATTATGTTCCTTTTTCCAGTACGGTGTGGATGTTAAATGCTGTGACGCTCGTGGTCTTTCCCCAATTGCTTATGCTCGACGAGCTGGAAGCACAGAGTGCGTTGATATTCTGCTCCAATATGGCTGTCCAAGTGATGGCTGCAGTCCTACTCCTGGCCTGTAGCACCTGCACTCCTGAACTCAGTATTCTGTGATCTCCGAACCCTTCACTTGGCTTATCACTGTGCCCTACGACCACAGATCCAAGGGTTACTTGGCTCTGGCAGCCATTTTTAAATATCTTATAATTCTCAGCTTTTCTCTTGAAGCAGAATAGTTCCTCCAAGAGAACCTGCCTTGCACCTGCTATAGGGAGCTGGCTCCTGTCTGTTCAGCTCAACATAACTATTTAACTTCATCAATTTATGTTCCACTGCTTTACCCATTAAAAGCCGACATGTTGGAAGCTCCATCTTGTATAGATGTAAATAGCCCTTCTTTGTTTTATTCTGTGTTACTCCCAGTATCCTTGCATTATTATCACAGCATCCAATGAGAGGATCATAATAAATGGAGATCTGTTCTTAGATACATGTGGTTATTGTGTGTATGTATTTATAATAAAATATGCATGCACACATCTTAACTCAGTATTTATATAGACCTCGCACAATGCGGAGAGGGGCAGATTTCTACAGTATTTCTGTTACATTCACACAATGTGGGACTTGTTAGCAATGCCCGGACCAGTGTCAGAAAAGTGTAAGCCGTGTAAGGGTCTGAGGTCAAAGGCACTTGATACAGAGATGTTGACCCCAGTGACTACAGTTTTGGGCTATGAGTGAAGGAGCGGTCATAAGAGTAGGAATCAAGGCTGGAGAGTTAGGTGGATGTTGGTCATTTTTGACTAGAATATTTATGAGAATCTATGAGAAAAATCTGCGTGAAGTATGTTCTAGGATTACCTAGATTTATTGTTTTTATCTAATAGGACACAATGATGATTTTTCTTGTATGATTACCTGTGCAGGTCATAGTCACAAATAGTCTGGACTGAATGATGGTGTGGACTACCAGATTGTCTAGACTGAAGATTGCCTCAACCACAGAGAGAGTCTGGACTTTTTTATGGTTAGGGCTGCAGAGATGTATGAACTGAACAATAGTCGGATCTAAGAGCTTATTTCAACTCAATGATCATACCAGGTTTAATTGATATTTAGGTTGAGTACATCGTAGCCAGGGTTATCATGAGCAGCAGAATGGGTTAAGAGAATCTGCTGGAGAAAAGGCCCTAGCTGGATGATGGTGATTGTTCTAAGACCAGGAAGTATTAGGAGGTTCAAGTAGAGAGAATATAATGTAAAAGCTAAGCTAGAAGATTGGACATAATGATGAGCTGAGATACATGGGAGAAATGGTGAGGAAATTAGATGCATGTAGATACCATATGATGAGCAGATAATGTACCATTGGAAAGATCAGGATGAACTGGAAATGGTGAGAGTCTAATATACATGTAGAGCTAGGCAGGTCTAAAGGTATACATAGGTAGGACATAGAATGGGCTGAGGTACTAGTAAACTGTCTGAAGTCAGTAAGGGCTGTGCTAGGTTGTATTGATTGATAAACTGGAAGAGCTCCAGGGTTCTGGTGTATAAATTGTACAGTGTATAAATTATTTATATTGCTGTGTATATACGGTGCATTATGTCATGTGCTACATGTGAAATAAAGAGTTGTCCATATCAGACATTTATTCAAGACTCATTGTGTGATATGTAGACAAATCACGACTAAATGTGCAAATTCATAGCAAAACCGCCAGTGAAGAGAATGGTCTCTATTTAAAAGGATGAAATACTTTGGGGCTGAATCAAAGGGCCCTTTGTTTTGTTCTAGTAATGACCTTGCTCCAGTCTGCAAGCTGTATCCCTGATATACAGGATTAGTAAATAGCCAAGCTTTATCCCAGATTTACAGGGTTAGTAAAGAGCTGAGCGGTATCCCAGATATACAGGGTTAGTAAATAGCCAAGCTTTATCCCAGATATACAGGGTTAGTAAAGAGCTGAGCGGTCTCCCAGATATACAGAGTTAGTAAATAGCCAAGCTTTATCCCAGATATACAGGGTTAGTAAATAGCTGTATCCCAGATATACAGGGTTAGTATATACAGGGATATACAGGGTTAGCTGTATCCCAGATATACAAAGTTAGTAAATAGCCAAGCTTTATCCCAGATATACAGAGTT